TTTATTGGTTGGCTGTAAAAAAAATCTATGAGTCTAAAACATACATATCACTACAAACATTTAGGTTTATGGTGATATAAAAACTCTTTTACAGAATATATGAAACAGAAAATTCAATTTTTATGACAACTGAAGCTACCTCAGGTTCCCTGGAGATTGAGGGTGATGTGAGGGGTGTTCAGCTGCATGATGAAACGTACCACTAGATGTCACTAAATTCTAAACACTGAACCTTTAAGTTAACTCCTCAGTTCTGTCTTCGTCAAGACATCTGCTTGAATTCCTGATCCTGCCCTGTTTTCCCTTTACAGTTTGAGTTTCACCCGTTTGTTTCCTTCTTTGCCTGCCCCTTAGTTTATTTCATTTATTTTCAATATATTCTGCTGCTTTGTTGATTGAATCCACCTCGCTCCTGCACTTGGGTCCCCCTGCTCACCAAATTCTAAAAGACTGAGGTTTCCAAGATCAAAAGTTAATCTCAAAGCCCAATAATCCAAGTTATTTTTATATTGTGGGTAACAGATTAAATTTAAATCCACTTCATTCTGAAACGTGTTGGAGGTAGATCATTATTAAAAAGAGGTTTTGGGATTTTGTCACAGTTTACTGAAATTGTGTTTCTCTTTCAGGACGCTGTACTGTGCCAAGGGAAACTACGACTTTGGCATCTCTCGTGTTATCAAGAGCTTGGAGCCGTACAATAAGAAGGTCAGCCAATTTATGAGTTGCATATTTTTTAAGTAAAGCTGTTTGGGTATTATTTTGCATGTTTCACAGGCTGAGTGATGCTTAGATATTAAAAATCAGTTCAGAATCACAACTGAAAGACAAATATTACTCGGTGTCAGTTACCATCAGCAGGAACTCTCTTGCCGAGGGTCTGCTCTGAGGTTCAGTCTCCTTTGATCTGGTCCAGTCTCAACAGCACTGTGGCTGCAGCTGAGTCCACTGAATGTGCAGCTGAGAACACAAGCCGTCATCCTGCGTGTCTCCCTCTCCTCCTCACAATAAGCGCCACCACAGAGTCGTGGAAGCAGAGAGTTGCTCTGGAATGTGAATCCTGGCGAGACGAGCAGTTGCGCCAACTTTTCACAACCTGGCCATTGTGTCTGAATTCGTGTTTTTTCAAATGCACAAGGTTTTACAACTTTAAGGCTTAGAAACACAAAGAGTGGTTGATGAGTTGAAGAGTTGTTTTTATCATGAGTTAAGCTATGAGAAAGCAACGTGAGTTTAAAGTTTGTGTTTGTGTGTGTAGCTGGGGACGGACACATGGTTCTACGCCAAGCGTTGTTTCCTCTCTCTGCTGGAGAACATGTCCAAACACATGGTCATGCTGAGGGACGCTGTGGTGGAGGAGTGTATTCAGTTCCTGGAGCACTGTGAGGGTGAGCAGCATGTACACGAGCACACACACACATACACACACACATACACACACACACGAGCACGCGCACAGAAACGTCAGGCTCCATTTCTGTACCAAAGATCGAGTCCAATAGAGATCTCACTTGTGTTTCTGCATCTTGTGTGTGAATATACAGATGATGCATTTATTATCTGATTTTTAACAATGATGAACTCAGGGGTGTATATATAGTGTAAATGTTACAGTTACACTATATATACACTAGTTACACTATGTATAGTGAACTTAACTGAAGTGGCAGAAGTGAAAATGTTAATATAATATATATGAGTAAAAAGGATTATATGATATCTAGACACTTCTTATACGCTATATTTTAGCTTAATTTCTGCACAACAGGAGGAAGTGGAGAAGCATCGTCCATCTTTATTTACAGTCTATGATCACAAAATGCAGAATGTTCTGCCAATTCATGATCCTCAGAAGATAAACCCTTGTATGGATTAATCAGTCCAGCGCATTCATAATGTGGGTTTTATTATGTATTATTTAAACACTGCAGCATCTAGGAAGCAGTAGCAGGTCCACGTCTGGTCATGTTCAGTTTGAACTCATAATTCTCGCTTTTTGTTTGTCCAGTCTACGGGAAGGAAGTGCCGGCCATCATCGAGCAGCCTCTGGAGGAGATTCACATTCACATTGGCAAGAACACTGTCACCTACGAGGCTCGACTGCTCAAGGCGCTGTTCTATGATGTCATTGGCTGGAACAAGTGACTTCATTACAGGATGTCAAGAGTAATGACTGAGGTTTGATGATCCAAGAAACATGACTGACTGCAGCCAGAGATGGTATTTTGTCAATAAAGTCGACTCAAAGGATAATTAACCTGAAGCCAGAGACAATCAACACTACACACCTCAGGGGAAGCTTCTCTAATGAAGTGAGAGGGTGAGTTGAAGCAGAAGAGTCAAGAGAACAGACGTTAGGAGGTCTGGTTCAGTGATCTCAGCTCTTACAGTAATAGTCAGTAATACTCGCTGTGCAGAGTATCATGAGCTTCTTTTATTAGCGGTGTTTATTCTACATGAAATACATAAACACTTTGTTTCAAGTTCACCTACATACATTCATGATTCATGCATTTATCCTCTTTGGTGAGCGTGTTTTCTATAGTATACATAACATTATTATCAGTAACAAAAACATAAGGACAATAAAGATCGTTATATTTGAAATAAAAATCATTGCCCTGCAATCTTTTTCTGTGAAATAATGAATGTGTTTATTCACAGCTGTAGTAGATATAATAAACATGGATGTTCAATTTAGCCTTTTAATACTGTTAACTAACTGTTTCTTTTTCTGAAGAAGTGTTATAGAAAAGTCACAATCACCATTTTGTCTTTCAAAGGCCTCAGTATTCCAGTCCAATGGTCAAACAGCACCCGAGACCCCCTGATCCTATAATCTGACCCCCTGACACACTGATCACTGAGCCCCTTATCTCACACCTTCCCAGTCTGTCTGTTTGTAACTCTTGGAAAACCATCAGTCGGACACTCGCCCTCTTTATACAATGACAACAAAATACCAACCAGGAGACAACCGCTGTTCCTGTTGTTTGTCACCATCAACAGAAACACAAACTAACACAGACAGCAGTGTGGTGATGATCAGAAAACCACGAAGACCACGTGAGCTGCTAAATCACCACTTTCTTCAGGCATCATTTGTGACATTAATTACATCCTTAGCTGTAGGAAGGAATGAGCACATAGATAATTAAACTTCTTGTTCATTATAATCATAGAATACAACATGGAAATTTCCATTTTGTGCCAAACAGCCACATCCCAGCATTTTAAGTACTTCGTCATCTCAAGACTATTTTCATAAAGCAAGATATTGTGTTGAGAGTCTCTACCTGATGATCTAAAACATTCTGTTCACCCGAATACACAACCCCCCGGCTGTGGCAGCAGGGTGAGGCTGGCTGTGCGTTCAGGAGAGCGGCCTCTTTGTTATGTCCTGTTCAGTCAGGTAATAGTTCAGGTATCCTCCCAGAGCGCCAACAGCCACAGCTGTCATGTGACTGGAGCAGCCATCTGAGACGAGAGAGGAGAGCGATGGGGATGAAAAAAAAAGAATTAGCGAAAATACTCAAACGCTTCATGTAAAAAGCTGCCAACACCAAAACAACAGTTGTTAAAGGCTCCAGTACAGTCATGTCAACATGGAGCAGATGTTTCCAACTTCTTGTGAAGTCCATGACTCAAAGAACTGAGGCTGTTTTGAAAGCAGAGGAACTTCCTAATAAAGTGCATGTTGGTGTAGTTTGGAAAGGACCTAGTTAACAGGCCCTCTCAGGGCACCCTCAGGTCCTTTATGAGTTTGTTCTGTTCCTTTACTGCTGCAGTATCCAGGTCCCACCCACACATGTACTTGACCAGTCACAAGTAACCAAATCTTCAACTTTAATGGGAGATGCATGTCTTTTTAGATCAATCAGTCTCTCAACGAACATCACACAAACTCAAACTGACCTGGAAGTATCTTCTCCCTCCTCTTCACTCTCCTGTGGGGCTGCAGCTGTTCCAGCAGCTCGTCTCCAATGATCTGAGACATGATGCTCTCTGAGGAAACAGGAGAGAAAATCAACTGTCTTGCATGGGGCATCTAAAATAAATGCTAAATATGAATTACTAATACTACTAATATTAATAGTAGACAAATGCTTGGACTTCTTTATGTATAAATACACATGACACTAACTATACACCAACTAAAGAAACAGATTAGGCAGAAAAGACTCAGAACCACTGGGCTAATATTGATAACTGTACCTTAGTGTAAACCAGACTGTATGAAAATGCCATGAGAACGCTGAGCTGCTAAATCCAGATGAAATGATGTTCTGATTGATCTGGTTCGTGGGTATTAAAATGTTTTTGTCGAAAACCAAATCAAATCACACCTTGTTGCTTTTTAAATAAAATAACTAAATTGAAGATGAAACTAAAATAAAAGTTTAGTAAATGAAATAACTGCAGTTAATTAAACAAATTAAAAGAAAATAAAAATAATTAATTAGATAATTCAAATTTATAAAAAGAAAAATCTAAACAAAATAGAATTTCCCTTTGAAATTGCAGTGTGAACACTGAGTTGCTGAATCCATTAAAAATGTCTAAAGTCTTAGTTCTGATTGATTTGGTTCTGAATTCCAAAACTGATCAGAGCAGATCAAAATACAGTGGTGATATCACTGCCTGATAAATATATATTTTTGAATGAGTTAGACAATTTAAGATAAAAAACAATGAAATGTAATTAAGTCACAGCGGTGTTAAAGGATCAGGGATACGCAGCCGTGTACATCAGTGCGTGGAGTGTCAGGTTCAGCCACAGCAAACTCTAGGATCCATTCACAGACCATGTTGTAATGGAAGTGATGGAAAGTGTCTTCTGAACCATCCAACAGTGAAGGGTCTGAGGAGCTCGCACCTTTGGTACCTCATTACTAAATCAATCAATGTGATCATAACTTATTTCAATCTAGAATTACCACCCTATGGTTGTATTTTCAGTCTACTTTTTTTTTTTCATAGGCCACTGTGACCTTTGCACTTTGACCATCAAAATCTAATCATTCAATCCATGAGTCTAAGTGTGCAGATATTACATTCACTAGGCAAAACATTTGTTTTGAGAGGTCGCAGTGACACAAACACTCACTGTCTCTCCCGAAGCAGCCAACTTCCTCGTCCTGCAGCCTGAGGATGTGCTGCAGCCAATCAGCTTTGTAGAAGTCGGAGAAACCAGCCAATCCACATATCAGGACTGCCGACAGAGAAGAGAGGGACTGAAGTTCAGACACCAACAAATCCATTTTTTAAAACGGTTTCTGCTGAATCTCCAATTGTAATTCAACAATTTCTTAGCTTCAGATCGAAACTGAGAATATGTTTTGTTCTCAAAACAACAAGGTTCTGCCAATGTGTGAGATCGAGTCATATGACAACAGTGCAGATTTCTGTGTTTAAAGAATTTGAACATGCGCTTCAGTATATCAGAGAAACAAAGATCAAAGCAGATCTCTGCACAAATAAAGTTGGTGAAGCTTCAATTATCCCTGCAAAAAACAAGTAATACACCACAAACCACTGCAAAATCGAAATGAAAACATTGGACATTTTATTATTGATCAAAGAATGTGTAAAAATGTCTGACATAGTTCTATATCTGATTAACACTTTCACACCTTGGTAGGTCCGGACCTTCTGACCTCTCAGTTTAGTCCAAACCAAAATAACATGTGGGGAAGGTGCCTCAGACCACGGTCCAGACCAACTCAGTCTGAGTTTAGTCCGACCAAAATAGATGGTCCCAGATCAGACTGAACCATGGTTGGGACGGTTTACAGTGTTAAAAAACACTCTTTTGGATAGATCGGACCAACTGCAGGAAGTTGAGACAGCATTAAACAATAGAAGAAGAAAACCAAGCATCTTGTAGTCTTCACCTCCAATTAGAGCTCCACTAGCTTCTGATTAGTGTTGGTGTTTATTGTTAATGTGTAAAGTGGACGCAGGTCAGGGGGGCAGTGAGGAGAGAGGAAGGTAGTGCAAACCTGACAGTTAGTGAATGCACGCATTGAGGTAAGTACTAACTGTATTAACCAACATAAACAAGATTAGATTAGATTCGTTCAAATAAAATTAGATTAGATTAGATCGAACTTTATTGATCTCTTTTTTTTTTTAAAAGATGAAGTCAGTTAAAGTTGAATGTTGGTTTTGATACATTTCCAGTTAATTGCCCAGCCTATACCTCCAATAATATGATGTTTGAAAAACAAGCAGGTTAATTTGGTGCATTGGAACTTGTATGGAGTACTGCACCTGAAGTTCATGATGCGGGTCATAAAACCATTATGATATGAAGGTAGTAACCAAATTAATGAAATGAACTGATAGATTAGTTTCCTTCATTCAAACAGAAAGACTACTACCTGCCTTACATCAGACACACCCCTGTCTACAAACCAATCAGCATGGAGTATCTAGCTCACATACAGTAAGTGATGATGACAGGACGTACAAATGTCATACAACATTCTTTAGTCTGCTCCCTAAATTACAATGTCAAACCCAAACTAACCAGATCGAATGGAAACAATGCAACAAAGACATAAATAAATTGGTTGCTTTTTTGGAAGACAGTGATTTAAATAGCGTGAGTGTCTCACTCACTGTTTTCGATGAAGATGTCGACCGTCTGTTCGGTCAGACCATCTTGGATGATGTCCTGGTTGGTCTTCATCATGTTGGAGCAGAAGATCTTCTGGTAGTTTTTCTCAGTCATGTTGGCTCTAGTCGGTCGTGTGTCGCCTTTCAGCAGGTTAGTGCAGCCTCTCTGAGGAGGAAACACACTGATCAGAATCTAACCTGGATCCCCACATAAAGTCTGTAGAGTCGAGGTTATAAGTACAGCAACGATTCTGCTTATTTATTGAGGACTCATTTTTAGCTTTATCTATTCTGACCAGGTTCTTTGAAATTAACTTGGTATATTAAACACTTTGTACACAGGAAATATCAAAATCTAAAAAGCGAATTGCCTCGAAAAGTAAAGAAATGCTCCTGTTTACAGAGGATATTCTATATTTTTCCAAACCAGTCTGTGTCCAGTCTAAATCCATTGGCTCCCGCTGACAATGTTAATCTTTAAAAACCATGCATATAGTTTCATTTTAAAATACTCGAATTTGTTAAAACAGCAGCTCACTGCAGTCATTACCATATGTAACAGGTGGGCACCCCTGTATGATTCACATTAAAAGCTCCAGGTTTTGTACACAGAATAATTTTAATCAGTCACATTATTTTTGGGGTATGTTCCAAATATATATATTCCTTCATTTATTTATTCATGTTCTTAATTTGTGATCTTTCTATGTCATGGTTGACAAGAGATCACAACAGTTTATTTACTGATTGAACAAGGATGCCAATAGAACAAGGGGAGAGGGGGGGATTATTTAGGGACACCGGCAGTAGCACTCTCTCTCTCTCCTGCCCGTCCAGAGTACAGCAGTGTGTGTGTGTTCGAATTAGTTTTCTCTTGTTTCTTGGTTTTCTTTTTTTGGTACTTGGTTAAAGGGGCAATGTACTATATTGTTGACGGGTACTGTGAAATCTTGGTATAATAACTTAAATATTTGTGAGTTATTGGCCACATAAATAAGATAACTTTTGTATGTTCATGGCATAATATGATATGCAGTGATAATCCTCTTGTGAGTCTTACTGTGTGCAGCTTTTATTTGGTTCTTAAATTTCCTCTTCTGTGTGTTAATTGGGTCCTAAGCCTTTAAGCCCTTTTTTGTTTAGATTGCTATTTATGTCAAGAGAGTTGTCAGTACCCTATACATTTCTAACCTTGCTACTGCATAGCTTAGAAATGCAATTGCACTCTACATTTGTAGGGGACTATTTCCAGCAGGGAATTAGGTGAGGAAAACAGCATGGTGTGTGTGAGACTGAAAAAATGAGCAATGCTTTCCTAAATGTTTAAAATGATTTAATAGTTTGTGATGATGTTACTTCTTACCATTTTTCCGATCATGAAGTAGAGCAGCTGGTGGGACAGGGAGTAATGCGGACAACCAAAATGAGTCATGGTGTCCCGACACGGCTTGGTGACGATACATGGCGTCCCGTTCATCTTCCTGCTCGGAGAGATAACCGTGACTTAGACAGGTGAGTTTCCTCACAACACTGTAACATATGTACCTATTCATCCATCTACTAATTCCACAGATCTGTCCTTCTGTCTGTCTGTATGTGGAACGCATCTCTAGAGAACTGTTCATCTGCTTGACTTGGCTTGTGCATTGCTCAGAGCCCATGGAAGTGTAGTGGCAATTTTGCCTTGATTTGCACACATGATGCCTTCAATGTTAAACACAGCAATGTTTACAGTTAGTATCAGGACTGAATTTAACATGTCTTCTTCTATGTCCTCAGATAACCTGCAGCATTGGTTGGCAACTGGTGACCCCCAGGCCAAAATCATTGCTAGCTCATTTCAATAATGATTATTTTTAGTTCACCACATCAGACTGAGACACAGACATTCACAGTTGCAGGTGTTGCGAGTGCTGATGTCCGTCATGGCAACAGCATTCATGGAATCGCTACCTCTCTAGCATTTTGTCTGCAATATTAAAAGCTCAACCTTTATTTTGATGCTAAAGTGCTTTATATCTACCTGAATCACAGAGCTTTTATTTTGAAAAGTTGTGAACTTGGGTCGGAAGATTGAGTCGGTTGTTTATTAGACCTCTGGAACAGCTGAGATTCAGTTATGAAAAATAATCAAATCAGCTATATCAATATTTAAAATGTATATATAAGCAAATACGTGAACAGTAATCAAGCATATTCAGTTCCATTTTATGAAAATTACTGCAAAGGAAAATAAAAAACTGGTTGATCATAAACACACAACAGCCTCATTAGTGGTAAACAAGGTAGGATGTTTTCTAACTTCACTAGACTGTCTAGACTAACTAGACTCTTTACAAAAAGCTCTGCACACAACGTCCAGCATGGACACAATTAAAAAGCGACAGTATATTGTAGAACTTTAGGAGGGGGACTCACTAATGACGAGGAATAATTCTGTAGAAGCTCTGGAGCATCAACACAGGACAAACAAACAGACGTGTTTAGAACAGGCACTGCACTAGTTTATTTAATCAACTCAAGCTACAGTGTGTTGTTCTCTCTGTTGGAGTGTGTTCATACCAGGTTCCCAGCAGCAGGGTCAGACATTTGTCACTGAGCTGCTCATCATAACACTCAGTGGTCATGGTGGAGGGATAGACCAGGCTGGGATCTGTGGAGCTCCACTCCTGAGGAATCAACCAGAAACTCCACGACAGCAAGGGCTCAAACTCTGCACAACATACACAAGTCATTGTTCCCAGAGTCTTATAGTCCCAGAGTCTTATAGTCCCAGAGTCCTATGTTCCCAATGTTCCCAACATCCTATGTTCCCAACTTTGTATGTTCCTGAGTCATATATTCATCCCAGGGTGCTACGTTTTAAGATTCCTATGTTCCCGATGTACTATAGAGTCAAATGTGATTCACAATTTGGTGTTCAGTATATTGCCCAAGGACACTTCGGCATGTGGACTACGGAAGACTGGGATCATACCACTGACCTTCTTTGTAACCTTGTAACTTCATAACTACCTACTTTGCACTACAATCAACCACAACTACCTCCTCATGCTCCTCTCTTTGCACTATTTTGTATAGTTTTTAACGTCCTGTAAACATGCTTATTTTATTGTAATATTTTATTTCTTTTTTTACTAAATGCACCTTTCAGTGGTAGCTGCTGTAATTTTGCCATGCTTCAATGTGTGATGACATTAAAGGCATTCTATTCTATTCTGGTACGAAGAAGAGCGCTCTAACCCCTGAGTTCTATGTTTCCAAAGTCATATGCTGCCACAGTCCTGTGCCCCATAGTCACATGTTTCTACAATCCTATGTTCCCAAGGTCTTATTATCAGAGTCAGATTTTTTCCGGAGTCATATGTTCCCAGTAACAGCACAGAGCCCACCAAACATATACAAGTGCAAAGTAAAAGAAATTGATTTTTATAAATAACTTTCCACTTTGAGGTATTTTCATGTAAGACATTTGAGTAAATTTACTTCAAACATGAGTTTACTGGGAAGTTTCTTCCATTGCAGCTGGCATCATACCACAAGGACTTCTGGGTAGATAAAGTCTTTCTGCGGCTGTAAAGGTCTCACCTCTGTAGTACTTGGGGTCGTTCTGCTGCAGGGCAGCGACAGCTTTTTCAAAGCTTCGGTCGAGACGTTTGACCAGTGCTACGGTGGAGGTTCTCTGACCCCAGCTGACCAGGTCAGTGTGAGGCCATGTCCGAACAGCTTCCTTCAGCTCAGCTGAGAAACAAAACAGACGAAAAGAATCAGGAGCATAACATATCTTTTTGTGCTTTGGTCTCTTGGTTCATTGGAAATGATGTTTCTGATGTTTAATGGACAAAACAATTGATTGATGAAAACATAATCAGCAGATTAAATTGGTAATGAAAAGAATTGTTAGTTGCAGCCAATATTTGAGTGTTTGGTAAGTTTGGTGAGTTTTTCTAATGACGTACTACAATTTCAAAAACCTATCATTGTTTATTAAAGATGCCGTAACAATGCAGACTTGGCGGCTTTGAGGCGTCTCTTTAATGAACTTAAGTGTTAGAAAACTGTCATGCTGGAGGAGGTTTTCCCAAAACCTGGATACCCAAATTTAGTTATTAATAGCCAATATCTGATCCATAAAGCATTAATAAGCATTCATAAAGACATTATTTATATTTCAAAGTATTTGGAATGGTGTCTTTATGGGAACTTAGAGTTAAAACGGTTGCAGTTTTGTACAATAAATACATGTTTAACTGTTTCCTGTCTCACACTAAAGTGATTGAAAGTGATGCGCATGTAATACATAATTAAACCAACTATAGATTTTTTTTTTTTAAATGGGTAATGATTTTAAGATTTCCTCATCAAACCTTGTGACAAAGAAATGCAATTGAGGCTTTGTATCTTAGTTTAACCATGCATTTACACCTATGAGTATAAAGAAAACCAACTTGAATTAAGAAAAAAACATTTTAAAAATGTAAGATTAAACACAAAAAAGTTTGCATTTCGCAGATATTGACACTGGTATCTCTGGGAGAGGCTGAAATCATCTACTTTTACTACTCTACTCATACTCTTACTGTAAAACATATTTGCAGATATAAATGTTGGAGAGACAAAAATAATTCAACAGTCCATGATGGGTGGGACCTCCGCCATGTATGTTCCAAGTATCGACTGTCATCTAATCATCATGCAAAGGTTGTAACTTGATTACATGATGAATTTGGCTGTTTTTTTAGTTCCTTTAGTAACTAAGAGTAAATGCACTAAGATTTGAGGCCGTCCAGTCTCTCCTGAGTATTCCCACCGTGGCCAGTCTGTGGCTATGATCTAAAAAGACTGAAATCATTGTCCCACTTTAACTGAGCCCACTCGTGACAAACCCGCAGAGAGCTGCGGATGTTTCTGTAAGAACAAGGTCAGTCTCTCAGAGGTGAGTCGTCCCACAGCTGCAGTGTGATCCTACCCTGCAGCATGAGGAACCCGACCACTCCGTCCAGGTTGATGTGTTCATGCTGCCGCTCCAGGAAGGATGCTCCTCTGGAGAGGCTGCTCAGGACGTCATCGATCACCTCCGCCCGCGACCCGCACACTGCGGCGAACAGAAGCAGCACCGCGGCCGGCTGGAGCCTCGCTGCCCGCATGGTGTGTCCTCTCTCCCGGATAATTCCAGTCTGAGGCTCCGGGACAGACCCAGAGAGAGAGAGAGAGAGAGAGAGAGAGGTAGAGGATGAGCTGGGGGAGGAACCATGACGTCAGAGGGGCTGTTATTACGAAATCCAAATTTAAGATGATTTCAATTAGAAAATTGTCTGTATTTATTTCTGTTGCTGTTCTCTACATTTTGCTGTCTTTCTAGATAATTTAGTTCATTGTAACTTCTGAGATTTTACATTCAAAGACATCAATTAAACCTTTAAAAAAACATCTCACACGTTTGTGGTGTTTTGCACTTGTAAAAATAAATCAAGTTCTAGCCGGAGAGATGTATGCTTTGCTTCACTTCAACTTTATTGTTTTCCCTTTTCTTGAAGGAATGACCTCTTATGTAACTGACAAAACATCCTGTCATAGTAGAGACAAAGGAATCAAACAAATTAAACCATCATGTGCAATTTTTTTTAACTGCAAAACTAAATCACTTATAATACAGTTCAAAGTAACTATTGCAATATGAGTGGAAACATGAACTCCAGTTTGATTTGCTTCTGTAACTATTATCAATACATGTCCTCAGAACATAATGAAGTCAGATAACAGTATCAGTATGTTATGTATCATTCTGACCTGGGCCTGGTCCTGGTGGATTAGGAACCACATTCTTTGGCACCATTATCCCATCGTCGTCAAAAAATGTTTGCACTGGTAAAACTGTATTTTACTGAGAGCTTTCTGCAGAGAGGATCAACACAGAGTCACAGGGACCTCAGAATGTTGACAGAGAGCGGTTAGTGCAAGCATCCCTTATAGGAGAAGTACGCCATATACCAGATCAGACAGGTTCTGCATAGGTGTAGTCTGAGACAGGAGCTGAGAAACAGGACACCACCCTGTTTAGTTTTCCCTTGTAGGTAGAACAGACAGTCATGTGAAGTGCACACAATGTTACACAAGATTAAAGGCCACTAAAGACAAGAATGTATGAAGTGTACTTTGAAAGTGAAAACATCTTTGCTCATGACAGGAAACTTTTCTTTAGCTGTGGGAGCACATCCTGCAGCACAGAGCTCATCCCTGTTTCCTCTCTCCTCACTCCTCACTCCTCTCTCCTCACTCCTCTCTCCTCACTCCTCTC